CCAATCACCAACCAAGGTACCCCCCCACAGCTTATCGCCTGAATCTCCTCCTAGAGCACTATTGTGTTCTTTTTAACCAAATATCTCTCAGAGGGGCGTGGGGAGGGGCTCCTTATTTTCATCTAAAGTAACAGACAGAGAATCAGCACTTTTGAAACAGGGCTGAAACAGAGGGGATTATGGGATGCTGCCATTCACGATCTGTTTGGCATTTAAATCCAACACTTCAGAGACATGTTTTGTATATATCTGAGACCTATAATATATTGATGAAAAACAGTATAATAGGGGACCTTTAAGTCAAAACTTAAAATGAAAATATACAAGTGCAAATGCAGAAGCTTCATGCACCACACAGATTCCACTGCCATACACAAATCTAATGAAACCTGCCTTAGGGTAACACTGGCCATGCAGCCATGCTGTGCAGCGACACATCACAGGTGCACCCTGGGAATAGACCAGCTTCTGCTGGGTTTGTTTGCGTCCGTGTTAGAATTGGTCCACCTCCCTCTTTGGGATTTCCTTGTACAGTGCGGTTCTATTTCCTGTTGTTGAATTCCTTTTTTCCCCCAGCACCTCGGAGAGAGTGGAGCGTTAGAGTTCCAGGTTCTCCGGTCTGTGCTGGAGGGGTCAGCCCCCGCAGGAATTTCAAAGATTGTTTTATCTATTTTTCTGTTTATCTGATGCAGGGAGCTCGGCAAATGCTGCAATAGCTTGCAATTCCTTATACCAAATCCCCTAGTACTTAATGAACACTCCTTACATTTGTGAAAATATGCTGCTAGAAAATCTGAGCCATTCATAAATTAAATATTTATAAACGTGATTAGCATGTGCATCAGCTGCACAGGTTTCCTAAAAAGGAAAAGCCTTGAACAAATATTTCTAATGGGAGAAATTTTAAATTCAAATGAGACCGTCCCGCAGCTTAAAACAGTTTGAGCTGAAGCCTGAACAAAAGGTGCAGTAAAGTCTCTTTGAAGAGTGTCTAATTACTGACAAAAGCACATGGACTTGTGCCAGATCTCATAGACTAACAGAGCCTGTTAATGGGCTCTATTGAAGATTTAAAGCTGCAGTCTATCTGCTACCTCCATGCCCTCTACTGTTTCCTGTTTTATTCTGTCAATGCTTTGTTGTTGTTTGGGGCTTTGCTGTTTTGTTTGGTTAGTGGAAAAGAAGTGAAGAAAAGACCAGACGTAGCAAAGAAAAGTAGGCTCAGAAATGTTGAAAGTAACCATCGGCTGGCTCTGATGCCAGTGTAATAACTGTAACAATATAGTGGGGATTTCACCATATTGAGCTTCAGGATAAATATAATGACACATTATCTATATTATAATTGGTATTTTGTTCCTTCATTGTAATGATTCTTTATGTGAGGCTTTCATTTTGAGGGAGGATGCAATGTTTGTATAACAAAGAAGGACAAAAAGACACCTATTTTTTGGACAGATATAATCCTACATACACACATAATCTGGATGCATTAGACATTTTCTGTTTTTGCATTTCCATTTATAATAACAATAACTCTTTGTCAACTCCCGGGCTCTGTGTTCTGCCACGGACTATTAAAGAACGAATGAGAAAATATGACTTTTACTTTATTCCTGTTTCCTATTGTAATGTGAAGAGTGAGCAGAACATGTTGTTGGAAAGAAGTTGCTGGAAGTGTGCTAGGAAGATAAATTCCTCTGCATCTATATAAACTTGCTATGAATGACAGTCCTTAGTGATTCATTTCAAGTTGTTGGTACACTGTGTTCTGAAATGATGTATTTCTGCCCACAAATGGAACAAAATATGATGCTAAAATGAAGGTAACTAAAGCTTTCAGGAAGTTTTCCTCCCCCCCCAGGGTTCACTGATTCAGCAATGGGAATCATTGTGTGTTTGTGAACACACCCAACCCACTAATCTGTGCCATCATGTCCTCATGACTAGAGCAAAGACTTTGCTGTGATTTGATGGACATTTCCAATAACTGTGTGTGTCATTATCAAATCTGGCTGCACTAATTGACACCTGCTGTCACTGAGGTGTCTGCCTTCAAAAGAGACCAAACTGTATCTCCTGTAGCAAGGACTAAATATTTTTAGGGACTTAATGCCGATGAGCTATGATCCTTCAGCTTATCAACAGCTCTTATTAAATTGTTTCAGTAGTTTGTTAAAGCCTGACCCTGTGGTTCAAAAAGTTAGAAGATTTCTCTTTTTGAGCAACACATATTTCTTTAATATTAATTAAAAAAAGAAGACACCGGTAAATACACTCCCAGTTCTGCTTGTAGATCTCTTCCTGTAAGGCATGTTGTTCTCGTCTGTCTCGTTTCAACATTTCTTACACAGCTTGAGTATGAAAAGAAGCGGTCACGTTGTCAGGAAAAGATTACAAAGTGACTTACACACAAAGGCCTTTACTGTATGAAAAACAATGACAAGGGAATTAAAAGCACACATGCTCCGGACGTAATTATGAGATGGTTTAAGAAGCCGATTTGATGAAAGGCGAGCTACACATTTAACACTCCGTAGCACCGAACATCAAATATAACTCGCTGTTTTTCCACAGTTAATACATATTTCAGGGAAATATATATTTGTTTCTTTATGAATCCTGTCATGAGTCAGCATGGACAAACTACTACGTATTTGAGAAAACCAAAGTGGTTTCATACACGATTTCACTGAGAAATGTCGGAGGAAGTACAAGGGGGGAAATCCCACAAACCACCGCATGACGCCGAGAAAAAGGTTGTTTTCGACTGAATATCACATAAACAAGTGTAATGACGTTGAATTTGCTTCCTGCACACAACTGAGTCTTTCTCACTCAGGATGTAGAGATCCTTATCAGTCAATACGGCCGTTTGCTCTAAAACAGAAAGCCAATATTAAAGCCTGAGTGAGAGAAGCACGTCAACAGCTGGATCTCAAACTGATTAGATGTAGTAATAATGCCACTGTGGAACATCTTTGTGAAACTCTGTTCTGAAGCTCTCCTTCTAAAAATGTGATATTAACAAGACACACATTTACTGATTCAGTGAAGATGAGATCGAGCTGTCGATATCATGGCATTCATTTTAGATTCAACATGATTTGAATCGGTGCTAGAAGAAGCAATATAGCTTCTTTTTTTCTCCTCATCTCGTAACTTTTGCAACTATTTTAAAACGGATGTCATTTTTGGCAATTAAATGAGCACGGAAAAAATATACAGTTATTGCATCGCCAATTTACAGTGGGGCAAAAAAGTATTTAGTCAGCCACCAATTGTGCAAGTTCTCCCACTTAAAAAGATGAGAGAGGTCTGTAATTTTCATCCTAGGTATACCTCAACTATGAGAGACAAAATGAGGGGAAAAAATCCAGAAAATCACATCGTCTGATTTTTAAAGAATTTATTTGCAAATTATGGTGGAAAATAAGTATTTGGTTAATAACAAAAGTTCATCTCAATACTTTGTTATATACCCTTTGTTGGCAATGACAGAGGTCAAACGTTTTCTGTAAGTCTTCACAAGGTTTTCACACACTGTTGCTGGTATTTTGGCCCATTCCTCCATGCAGATCTCCTCTAGAGCAGTGATGTTTTGGGGCTGTCGCTGGGCAACACGGACTTTCAACTCCCTCCAAAGATTTTCTATGGGGTTGAGATCTGGAGACTGGCTAGGCCACTCCAGGACCTTGAAATGCTTCTTACAAAGCCACTCCTTCGTTGCCCGGGCGGTGTGTTTGGGATCATTGTCATGCTGAAAGACCCAGCCACGTTTCATCTTCAATGCCCTTGCTGATGGAAGGAGGTTGTCACTCAAAATCTCACGATACATGGCCCCATTCATTCTTTCCTTTACACCAGGGGTGTCAAACTCAAGGCCCGGGGTCCAAATCCGGCCTGCGACTTCATTTAATGTGGCCCGCAAGAGCTTGCAAAGAATATAATACTTTTATTATA